CTGGGTGCATGGCTTGTTCTAGCTCTTTCTTCCTAGTGGGCATGGGTGAAGAAGGCTAGGACGCCGCATGCCTCTGCCACGCCAATCTTTTGCATGATCACTGGACATTCAAGGTCCTGGTCATTCCCCAGGGGTTGAGGTTCTGAACTTCTCTACCAAGTAGATTTTACAGTGGACTCCAGGCTGTAAAGGGATATGAAGCTGTGAGGGCTGGAAGAGCCTGGGAGGTCATGTCTCCCCAGGCAGCCCTTTAGCCAGTGACTGCCGGCCCCAGGAGTCTGCAAGCCCAGCTCCCTCCCCGTGGGCCAGGAGGGCTGTGAGGGTAACATACACTCTGAGCGTCTTGCAGGACCAGGCTGCAGCCTACCTTATCGGCTATCTACGTGGCAGTAATGCTGCGTAACAAACCACCCCAAGCCACAGGCGCCTCTGGTTGGGTTGGGCTCTCGCACATCTGCCCCCTGCCGTGGTTTGGCCGGAAGGCTCTGCCAGTCCCGGTGGGCTCTCTCCCATATTGTGGGTCAGCTGGCTGCCAGCTGGTTCAGGGTGGCCTTGGCAGGGCCACGGGGCTCCGTGCCGTGTGCTCATTCCACACCAGTCGCTGGTTGGGTCTGTTCCCACAGTGAAGACAGAGGCATGAAAAGCGGAAGTGGGGGTGTCCCACATGGTGGCTAACACCCAGAGGCCAAGGCAAGTCGCGCTGCCCAGCTCAAAATCAAAGGGTGTCCAAGGGGATCGGCCCCACCTTGCCACGGGAAGGCCTGAAGGGTCACAAAGTCCGGCCGTCCCCCGTGGGCCCCTTGCTTGGCCTCTACGCCCTCCCGGCCTCCCTCTTCCCTTCCTGGTACCCCCCGGTGACAGACATACTTCACAAGGCACCTGCATGCAAGTCCCCCTCTCAGGCGACGGTTTAATGCACTGACTGCCATATTTATATTTAAGTGTCCTTCTGAATCAAGGTGTAATTCACATGTCATAGGTTTAAGAGTTGACTTTCAAGGCTTTAGATAAATAGAAGGGGGCGCCTGGGGGGCTCAGTCGGTTGAGCATCTGACTCTTGATTTCGGCTCAGGTCATGATCTCGTGGTTTGTGAGTTTGAGCCCTGCATCAGGTTCTGTGCCGACAGAGGGATAGCTTGGGATTCTCTCTCTCTCTCTCTCTTTCTCTCTCTCAAAATAAACATTAAAAAAATAAGCAGTTGGATGTACATATGTTAAGGTGAAAACAGGCCTCAATAATCACAGGATTTTTCCCCATGAACATATGTGTCTCAGTCTTTCTCTCTCTCAGATGTTATGTGTCGTGGGCCTAGAACACAGCCAGGACTTCCAACCCTAGGGCTTCCCTTCATGAATGATTTTAAGACGGAAGCACCGTCATACGCCCTTGAAGGCCAGCAGTGGGGGCCAGGGAGGGCCAGAGAGGACCCTGAGGGCCTCGCTTCACACTGAATAGTCTGCACGGCTGCTTGAATCCAGTCTCAGGGAAGCAGTCTGTCCTGAGAGCCCCCAGCCTGTCTCCACGGACTGTAGGAGTGTGGGCCTCATGCCGAAGCCAACAGCCCAGGCCCAGCGGGAAGGCCCCTGGGGAGACGGCTCCCATCGTCCCTGGCCTGGCTTGCTGTTATCCTGTGGGCGGCTGCTCCCCTCTGCCCAGGCCAGAGGGCCTCGCCGTCCACACCGACTCCCGCAAGCGGCCTTTTCCGGCCCGTCTTATGTGGGCAGTGGGTGACTTTCTTTGTTACTCACACCCAGGCGACTCCACTGGGAGGCAAGAGCAAAAACGTTGCAAAGCAGTTCACAGCGTATTTGACCAAATGAATTGTCGTTTTAATGAAAATATGCTTTTTCCGCTTGCAGGCAGGAAGAGATGTGGAGGGACCACAAAGCCCTGGGCAGAAGAGCCAATTTTGTCTTCCGGTTCTATCGACGTGTGTGTGTGTGTGTGTGTGTGTGTGTGTTTGCAACCTTCCCATAATACCAGATCTCTAAAGTTGGATCCTATCTGTATTAATTCAACGACTATTTGCTGATCTCACATGCTGTGCCCAGCTCCGTGCTAAGAACCCATCAGCCGGACGAAGAGAACAGGTGGGTCCCAGAGTCAGGAGTTTCCCACGTGGGAAATCCACGTACGGACGTGTTTCATGCCAGACTGATAGGTCAGCAGATAAAGCAAACAATTCCTGAAACCATTTGGGCTCTGAGGATGCCCAGGATGAAGTCCTGGCTTCTGGGCTGGGCAGCCGGGTTGGGTCTCTGCCGAGTTTCTGAGCTGGGTCCCTCCGTCCCTCGGGGCCTCACACCCGCCTGCCGATGGTGAAGCCCCACCTTGTCTCACACTTAAAACATTAGCTGGTTGGTAGGGGCCACACGGCACATTGCTTGTTATGGACAAAGGAGGGAGATGTAAATATTGATGTTTGATAGTTTGTTTCCAGGGACAGTGGTCAGTGACACGGCATACACATGTGGACAATGACAGGCGAGATGGACATTGATTTGTGTTAGAGCTGTTAGAGCTTTAGGAGCCTTTCCTGATGCAAATGTGCCTTCTCATGGGCTAAGCCTCAAGCCCCATGAGAGCTGGGCCTTGCTCACTGCTGAGCACAGCCTGACTCAGCCTAAATTAGTATTTGTGAGGGGTGCCTGGGTGGCTCAGTTGTTTAAGCTTCCGATTTCGGCTCAGGTTATGATTTCCCGGTTCGTGGATTCGAGCCCCGCGTCGGGCTCTGTGCTGACAGCTCAGAGCCTGGAGGCTGTTTCAGATTCTGTGTCTCCCTCTCTCTCTGACCCACCCCTGCTCACGCTCTCTCTCTCTCTCAGAAATCAATAAAACACTTTAAAAAATTTAAATTAGTATTTGTGGGAGAAAGGAGGGCAGCGATGGGGGCAATTATCAGCCAGTAAGTGAGGCCCAGAAAAAGTCAGTGATTCGTTCTAGTAAGTTACGGGTAATTGTACACTGCTATTTGTGTATGAAGATGGGGTCACAGTCTCCTGTTGACAGCCAAACTCTTAAGCATGAAAGTGATGGGTTTCCTCAAACCATCCCATCTGACTGTGTCATTTCCCTCATGATCTATGTGACCAATGCTATTCCTCTCCCGGGCCTCTGAGATCAGGAACAATTACCTATGTGGCTAAATGTTCTCCATTCATTTCTTGTTCTCGCAAAAAAAAAAAAAAAAAAAATCCTCAAGGACCATGAAGAGTAAGGCCGGGGCTCCATTCTCCAGCAACATTTGGAGGAAGGAGGCACAGGACGGCACCTTTGGGGGGCAGGGGAGCAGGTAAGGTTGCAGAGGAGGAGGGTCGGAGAAGGAAAGGTCCCCGCTCCATCATTACAGGGATCCTATCCATCCTTAGCCTCTTTCTTGCCATCCCACAGGCCATCTGGCCAAACTTTGCAAAGCCCATTTCAGGCCTCCGTCCTGCAAAGTGACTTTAGGACTATGAACACCCCCATCATTTGCCTCTGAAGCTACACATGGCGGAAACAGGTAATGACCTGAGGGTTAGAGTCGCAGCTCCCTGGCAGTGCGGCCGGGACACGTCTTTTAACTTTCCCGAGCATGTGCCTATCTTGGGTGCCTAGCACATAACATTTCAATATATGTGAGCTGCTATTAAAAACATGGGTAATATGGGGCACCCGGGTGGCTCAGTCGGTTAAGCGTCCGACTTTCGCTTAGGTCATGATCTCGCGGTTCGTGGGTTCGGGCCCCGCGTCGGGCTCTGTGCTGACTGCCAGCTCAGAGCCTGGAGCCTGTTTCAGTCTGTGACTCCCTCTCTCTCTGACCCTCCCCTGCTCATGCTGTCTCTCTCTCTCTCCTAGAAATAAATAAAACATTAAAAAAAATTTTAAAAAAACATGGGTAATTTTATATCTTAAAATATTGCATATTGCTTAAATGGTTTCATGCTGGCTCACATTAAAAATGATTCCCAAGTGAAGATGACAAAGGGGAAATATCTGTTATTTAGTTCTTTTCTTACATTAAGCTATCATAATAAAGTACATTTCTGGGTTGCATTCTCTAGAGTGCTTTTTACTAAATAAATGGCCAAAAATAACTTTTCCCTTCCAGTAAGATTTCATGATTCAGCACATTCAATTTTCACTACAAAGAAGGTTGAAGTAAAGAGTACAAAACAACTCTAGGAGAAAGAAACAGGTGAGGAGAAGCCACACATGGTCGATGGTGAGGGTCAAATTCTGACACTGGTGCTTTCTGCTTTTGAAGACACACCTCGGCTACATGAAAGTTGTATTTATTCAGGCATCTATACTGCACTTGGGTCCTGAGGAAGCAGGGAGAGAAGAATTAGTAGGAGATGGTACCAGGTTCGCAGCAAAGGGGTGTACTGGAAAAAGAAGCAGTCTCTGGCTTTGGACCCGGGCCTGCAGCCGGCACCTTGGTTAGAAGTCAGCTTCTTTCAACCCAAAGGCCGGCCAGCGGTCATGGATGCCGACACCCCTCCCGACCCTTTTTCTTGCTGTCAGCAGCAGCTCCAGATGTTAACGGCAAAGGTCCCACATCAGGTCATTTCCTGGGTGACACCAAAGGCAGGGAATGGGGCGGTCAAGGCTGCTTGGCCTCCTCTCCCCAGGCAGCTGGGAGCATGTCAGCTGAAGGTGCCCTGGACGCAGGACTCGGCTTGGAGGGCCAGGCATCTTCTTTCACGGTGGCTTTATGGGGACAGTCCTGGCCCTTCTCTCTCTCTGTGGGACAGCTCTTGCGTCCCCCCATTTCGTTGTAACCACCAGGCCGTAGGGTGCTTCCCACTAGATTATTAGCATCCAGACCCCACAGAAACTGTCCCCTCACTCCGCATTCCCAAAAAGGCCCAGGGGGACCCGAGCCACCCTCTGCTCTGGAGAGTGCATGAGTCTACACCGACGGCTTCGGGCCATCCCCGGGCCTGGGGCAGGTTTGGACAGGTGTCTAAGCCGCGGGCGCTTCTCCGCGGCCTTGGCGCGCGCTCTCGGCCAGGGGTCACCGTGGCCTTTGGGCCCCGGAGGAAGGAGCGGGACTCGGGTCCTTGCGGAAGGCCTCCCGTGGGGGCCCCGCGCCGGCCCTGGGGGCGCTCCGGAGGTCCCTCCGCACGGCGGCGAGAGGGGCGCAGCTGCGGCCCGGGGGAGGGGGAGGCACGGCGGCGGGCGGGCTGCGGGGCCGCCCGCGGGTACCTCCTCGCGCCGCCGCCGGCCCCCGCCCGCCGCGCCGCCGCCTCCCGCGGTGGAAGGCAGCGCGGCGCGTGCGCACTGGCGCGCTCGCGGCCCGGCCCGTGGGCTCTCCCGGGACGGCGGGAGGTGGGAACGTGGGACGGCGCCGGGCCGCACACCCTCCCGGCCCGCCGCCGGCGCCGCCGCCACCTCGCGGCCAGGGCGCCCCGCGACGCCCGTCGAACCAGCGGCGCAGGTAAGCGCGCGAGGTCCGCTCGCGGTCCCGTCGGGGGCTCCCCGCCCCGGCCTGCGGCCCCCAGAGGCCACCGGCCACCGAAGTTGAACTTGGCGCGCCGCAGGCCGGGCGCTGGAGGCGGGGGGCGGGCTGCGCCGACCTCGCCACCCCCTCGCAGGGGTGCGTTCCCCGGGCTTGCGGGGCGCGGGCGGGGCCGCGGCGGAGGCGCGCGGCGGGGTTGGGGTGCGGGAGCCCGGGACCTGGGGCGGCGCTCCGGGGCTGGCCGCGCAGGGAACTTTCGCGCCGGCCCTGGCAACGTTTGGGCGGCCGGGAGCGCTGCCGGGGCGGCCTCTCGGGCTCCGGGTGGCGGGCTCCGCGTGCGCCCTTCCCGGCCGGACGCGGGAGGGGAGCGCCGGCCCAGGGCCCCCGGCGCGGGGAAGGCGCACACGCGCGCGGGCAGAGATCGGGGGTTCCCGGGATTTAGTGGAACGACCCGGGGTAAGTGAGACCCTCGGAGGAAGGGAGGGGAAGGTCGAAACGCCGAGGCGCCTGGAGGAGAACGCAGGAAGCAATTAAAACTCCTCCTTTCGGATTAACAACCAAAAATTGATCGATGTGTCAGGAATACCGCTGATTTATGAAAGGTGCTTATTTCTCTGGTATGGAGAATTTTATGTTCTCCAGGTGAAACCGAGTTCACCCAGCTCCAGCGTAGATTGATGTTTTAATAAAAATAAATAAAGGGGAAAAGCTCGCCCGGTCTTTGGGGACATCAAGTCTCAAATCGCAGAGTTAGACTAACAAATCAAATCGCGTTATCTTCACATTTCGTATCTTTGAATCGTGCCTAAAAATCCGAGGCAGGAGAGCGCCTTCCTTTGGAAAGTTTTAATACGGCGCGTAAAAGTTCGCCTAAGTAGCGGTCCGCGTTTCCTAAGCAGATCGGCGCGGGAGGCGTCGCGTAATTGCGGTAAGTGGCAGGCCTGGCGGGGCGGGCGCGGGGCGGGCGCGGGGCGGGCGCGGGGCGGCGCGAGGAGGAGCGGGCGCGGCGGCGCCGGGAGCCGCGCGGCGCCCGTAGGTGGCGCCCTGGCCCCACGCTAGGCTCGCGAGCAGCGCGGCGCCGGGCGCGCGCGGGCGGGGGCGCGGGCGGGGGCGCGGGGCGCGGGGCCCCGCACTTGCAGTGGACTTGGGGGAGGGCAGCGCGGCTCCGCAGGGGGTGGGGGGGGGTGAGTTAAGCTTATTGTTGGCATTTCAAATTTAAGGCCTGGCCAACATTTGGGGCGGACGGGAGTCCGTGAATCTGGGACGTTCGTGCGAGGGGAGGGGTCCCCCCCCCCCAACCTGGCTGCGGCCGGCCTGCTGGCCACCGCGCAGCCCCCGTCCTCGCTGTCCGGCCGCGCGGCCCAGGCGGGGCGCCGGCGTGCAGACGCGTGGGTGCGGGCGAGGGTAGGCTGTGCGGCGGCGGGGACGCCAAGTTCAAAGCTGCCCGTAGACCACCCCCAGGGGCGGCCGGGACGGCCGAGGGGCTGCCCCCGCCCCGCGCGCGGTGCACCGCCCGAGCCCGCGCCAGCCCTGCCGCCCCGGCTGCTGGCGCGCTCCGCTTTGCAATGTAAATTTCAGCGGGACAAATTGCTTATTAATAGTCCAGAAGAGGAGCGGGTTTCTTTCTTTCTTCTTTTCTTTATCTGTTTTTATTTCTGCATGGCCCCTAGCTATGCCCTGGGCAGCCTCGCCGCCCAGCGGTTTTCTCTTCATTTCAATATCCTAAAGAAAATGCAAATTTCCACAGTGTGGCCTTTTTAAAAAGTTAAATTAGCAACAGCTTTAAGTGACTCCATTAGTATGGAAAACATACACATGTTTAATGTGGGAATAGCTTCCTTTTCACAGGGCTCATTCTGGGCTGTAGATTTAGCAGACCCTCGGACTGGTAAAGAATCACAACGCCGCCAAATGTGTCACCAAAGGCGCACCCCCTGCGTGGCCTGCGCCCGGCTTACCGGGAGGGGCCATCTCTCTGCCGCGCGCCGCCCGATACCGTGCGCCAGCTCGGATCCCTTAGAAGTCGCGCGAACATGGGCTGAAGGGTTTGTGCAGGCGGGAAGGGAAGGAGCACCCGACACGTTTCTGTCCAAGGGCGGTGTGCTGTGCCTTCCCCCTCCCAGCCTCTTCGTCGCTGTCCCCACAGCTGAGATGATTACCCGGCGGGCTGACCAGGCCCGGCAGCTGTCCCCCACCAACCCCTTTTTGCGCACAGCAACGGATGTGTCCACACCCCGTTAAGATGCTGCCGAGGGGTGGGCGAGTGTCGCTGCTGAGGAGGACGTCAACCCCCGTGCCAGTCCGCCCGCCCCCACCCCTTGGCTCTCTAGCACCCCAGCTCCCTTGCCCGTTTCGGCAAACCCGTTTCAAATCAGAATTTCATTGGCAAACTTTTGCGCTCCCTTAGGTTTCAGATGAGGGTATTCAATTCTGTCATGGGGTCTGGGCACTCCACCCCCTCCCAGGAAAGAGTTAAGATTTATGGTGTGCTGGAGAGGTCTTGTTAGCATGTAATCTGCATTTTTTAACTACTGCGTAATAAAAAGTGAGAAGTTTTGAGACACCTTTCTTGATTATACCTTTGGCGATACTTTAGGTTTTACATTTAATTTGCATTTTGTTCTTAGTGAGTATTGAAGTCTTGAGTGGAGGATTGAATTTTATTAGGACATCTGGGCTGACAATATCAAATCAGACACCAGTGTCCCAAAGCATGCTAAAATTCCAGAGTTAATTAGAACGCAGTGTGTTTAATTAAAGCCAATTATAATATTTGAAATTATCTGATCGATCCGTGTTTCTACAGTTTGGGTCTGTTTAGGTGTTGATTGGCGCACTCTGCGCGCCGTTAGATCTAGAAACTACTCAAGGGAAAGTTTGCTTTGTAAACCAGCGGGGGCGGGTGGGCGCGGAACCCGCGTCCCGGGCGCTGGCTCCTGCGCTTCGTGCCCGACCGCCTTAGGGCGCCGCGGAACGCAGCTCCGGAAACTCCAGCTCGTTGTTAAACCGCTGCGCCTTTCCGGGTCCCAGGGACCGCGCCAGGCACCAACTGCCTTTCCCAGCTTAGGTGCTCCTCCCAAGCGTTTTGCGGAGAGGCAGCCTTTAAGGTTGCAAGGTGCGTTGGGAGAAGCCCAGCTCTAAGAATGAGAGTGTCTGATTTGGGATTCTGGGTCTGGCTGGAGAGCCCTCGGGGCAGATTCAGAATAGTGGGGTCAGCCAAACTGACGGCAGGCACGAGGGAAAAGTTAGGACAAGGAGACAATAATTAACTGTTTCCTTTCTAATTTTGCACGCTGCAGGAATCGAGGTGCGCCCTGGCGTTTTCTGCCCTCCTTGGAGAGCCCTGGGTTTTCCAGGGAGAGGGTCGAGCGAATTCCCGGCTGCGTTCGCTGTCTCCCGCGGGACTGGGCACTTGGGCGCACGTTTCTCGCCAGCAACGGCGTGGGCGCGGCGCTCACTTCCCTGGCCTTGTTGCGGGTGCCGGGCTCGGCCTGGGTTTTGCAAACACACGTGGGCGGCAGTTAGGACCAGGCGTCGGGTGGACATTTCTGCGCGCTCCTAGGGTCACGGTGTCAGCGAGGCCTAGGTGCGCGGGCCGCGCAGGAGCCGCGGCGCAGCTGTTAGGCCGGGCAGGGCGCCTCGGCAGCCACCTGCCCTGGGGTAGGTGAAAGTCTCGGCTTGGCTCCCGGCTGCGCGACGACACTGCACTCCCCACCCCAGGAGGCGCTGTTTGTCAAACTTGGCCGCGTAGACAAGAGGCGCCTGCATATTCCCGCTTGGAGAATTGAGCCTCTTTCGGTACTCGGGGGTGGGTCGGGCTTTACTAGCCTTAACCTTACAGGATGATGGGTTGGGTGGGGGGCGAGGCCGATAACTGCGCGCTGAGACCCTGCACTGTTCACTTTTTACCTGTGGATCCAGCCAGGCCTCCTAGCAAAGGGCAGAGGAGTCCGTTGGTGCTCCCTGTGTGTCCTGGGCGAGGTGCCCAGTTACTGGCCTCGGAGGGCAGGCGGGTCGCGGGCCTGGCTTGGGTTCAGTTCACCACATGACTCCTGAGAGCCCCGTGGCTTCAGTCTCCGCCCGGAGATGGCGGAGGCCGGCTCTCTGGCCTGGAAAACGCACCGGAACCTGGCCCGGCCCCATTCGTGTGCAGTCTAATAGGCTGGGGTGACAGGACACCAGAGCTTGCTTCCCAGGCCTCCCGCAGCCCATCGGTGAGGCGCACCCGGCGGCACAAAGCGGAGCCCTGGGCGCACTCAGGGGCCTCATCACGCTGACCCGAGGTGGGCAGGGTTTGCGAGTGTGTGGCTGTTCCACCCTATCCCGCAGTTCACGGGGCTTTCAAGGTGTGTCTTCCCTGGATTTCCCTGCTCTCCGGCCCTTCAGCCCCCTGTGGCCTCCTTCCCGCGGGGGCCCACGGTCTGCCAGGCTCTCTAACTTAGGGTTCTTTCCCCGCCCTCCCCCCGCCTGTGCCCAGCGCCGGGTCCGAGCCCGGGCGGGAGTGGGGCCGGCGGCCAGGTAGCGGGCGCAGGCTGAGCGTGACCCCCGGGCGCGGAGGACGTGGGGGCGGGACGCGCCTGCAGCTCCGCACTGGCGGCGGGAACGCGAACCACGGGGCCTTTGGCGCATTGGCTTCTCACCCTTTCTAGAGGCTGAGCGGCTTGCGGCGCAGCCCGGGCCTGAGGCCACGGGCCCTTCGAGGGCGCCCCTTCTGGACTCGCCCGCGCGCCCCGATCCCTCAAGGGGCTGCGCTTCCAGGAACACCCCCTGCCCGGGCTCCTCGCCGCCGGAAATGCAGTGTATTACTCTTTGGAAGGCTGGTAGGGAGGTCGGCTGGCTTCCCGGACTGGGCCCAGAGCGAGATGGGGCGTTCACAAAGTACCCTGAACGTTGGGCCGGAGCGGGCGCCGTGGCTGGCTTCACCCCCTGGGACCCCAACTTGGCCCAAGTTTCTGGATGGCTCTTGAGACCGGCACCAGCCCGCCTCCCGCTCTCCAGGCCTCGCACCACGCAGCAGTGGAGGCCCCGGGACTGGGGAGGTACAAGGGGGACGCTGACGCCTGGTGCGCGGGGAACGGCCCCTCGCCCTCCGGGAGTGGGTAATGGGCGCACGCGCGGGACGGCCGGGGCCCTGGGCACCGTAAGGCCAGCAGGGAGGCCGGGCAGGGCCTGGGCGCGGACGCCGCCGGGTCGAATCACCGGGCTCGGCCTCCGGTGGTGCCGCGGGTCAGCGGCCGAGCGCCGCCGCTGCCCTGCGCTCTGCGCGCCGCTCCGCGAACAGGGCTCCAGGGGCGGCGGGCGCTGTCTCTTTAAGGTCACTGCCTGCTCCGGCGCGACGTGGGGAGGACAGCTGGGCACTGGCCATCTGACTGACTCCGGCGTGACATCTGGGAGCCCACTGGTGTGTGGCACGCGAAGCGCTTGATGCCGCTATTTAAATGCAAATGTGAGGGGGCTCATTGAAGCCTCTCCCCGTAAATCCGCACAAAAGGAATACTTCCCACCCTCAGAGGAGGAGGAGGCGGCGGCGGAGAGGCGGCGGCGGCGCGAGGGCCACCCGTGCAAATCGCGTTGAGCGCGGGGCCCTGAGCGGTCGCCGTCGCCGGCCCGGCCCGCGGGGTTCCCAACGAGGGTCAGGCCCCGCCCGGCCCGGCCCCTGGGCGTCCGTCTGGCCCCCGGGGGCGCCCTGTGAGCGGAGGCTGGAGCGGCGGCCGGGCCTGCGCAACTTCCAAAGTGTCAGCCTGTCTCTCCGCCCCCTCCCACTCCCCACCCCACCCACCCCCGCTTTCCCTGTCTGGGTGCCGGGCGCCCCTAGTTCCCCCGGAAGCGAGAGAGACGGGAGCGGGACTCTGGAGGGAGGAGGCCGGCGCGGGGGCCTCTCCCGGCATCTCTGAGTGTATCCAGGAATTGACCTGCAGTCGCTACCTCTTCCCCAGCCTCTGTGCTCCGGCCCTGGCTCCTCTCCGCGGCTCCCCCCCCCCACCCCCCGCCATGAAAGCAAAACTCTGGGGTGGGGGAGGTGGGGGCCCAGGGGCTGCCCGCCAGGCTGCTCCCCAGCAGGCCCGGGTGGAGACCCGGCCGGGTCGGGCAGCCCTTGTGCCCGCAGCTCGGAGCCAGCAGTGGAGTGACAAAAAAGATAAAGTTGGTGAATGATAAAGACCGTATTTTCCACGCTTTGGGTGCGGGACCAGATGATCTAGAAAATGAGCTGAAATGGATTCAGCCTCCAAGCCTGTTGTGAGAGCAGCTGATTCTCCCATTTCGGGCCAGATGGCTGCTGAACACAGATTTGCATTCATTTTCCCTTAATATCGTCCAAAATAGTGGGGCAGCTGCATTTGCTGTCAAAAAGGTTTAAAACCCCTTTTCTTTCTGGGGCAGGATCGTTACCTTATGTGATGGGCTTATAGAACTTCTTTCCCCTCTTTAGTCAACAGTATCAGATTTAGAAGGATTTGTTTTTAAACCTTCTAATTTGGTAATCAGATTTAAATCGCCTTGGCGCGTGTAATCTGAATTAAAGATACTGTAAATGATTTTAAGCATGATACTTTCGTTAGCGCAAGGAAGGGGGCACCTCCAAGGCGGGCTGGGCATTTTAGGAAGTGTGCTACAAAGGAAGCATTGTTTCCTCGCTCCAACTTCATCTTCCCGGAAAAGGCACTTTGCATATTCTGACAATAAGCTCGCCTGCCGCCGGCCCTGCGCGAGCCCCCAGAGCAGCTAAACACGCAGAGACAAAGCAATTTCTCAACCCCACCCTCCACCTAAGGCCAACTTTATTTTGCGTTGTCCCTCCAGGAGAAGGTGTTCCTTTCTCCACTCAGTCTGATGTGGGTGGAAAGCTCTGGGCTTATTAGGAACACAGAAATTTTCTTTTAATTTATCGTGAATAGTTTCCATACACTTTGATTTAAGGTTATTAACATTCTATAGACAGTGGCATCTTTAATATGTGGCGATCGCTTCTAAAGACTAATCTCATTACCCTCAAATAGTCATAAAATATGATTTTATTATACTTACGTATTTAATTAGACGGCCGGCACCGTAATGGATTTTGAGACGGGACTGGCGCACCGGCTTTGATAATTCACTTATCTTTGGCAATAGTCATTAACCCCCAACACCAGCAAAATAGATTGCTTTCCAACACGTCTTTTTTTTTTTTTTTCTCACCCCTTCCAAGAGGCGTGGGGGTCCCCAGATAACGCAAATCGGACTTCGATTTTTCCCGATTAATTAAAATATTAACGTACACACACTGCCAATTCACGGGAAAAGGGAGTGCTACCCCATACCGGGCGGGGAGAGGGGGCCCGGCGACCCGCTCGCACCCTGAAGCCTGTTTTGGTTTTGTTTTAATCGGAAGGGCCTGATTTCCCTCGGCAGGGAAGTGCCGGGACGGCTCCCGGTAGCCCCCCGGGTCTCTGCTCCGAGTCGTGCAGGCGTCCGTGGGGCGGGCGGTGCGCCCGGGGGCCGCGTCCCCGCCGCAGGAGCCCGGCCGCCGGGCCCACGCGCTGCCCGCGCCCCGCTGCCCTCGCGATTCCTCGAAACCAGGTCGGGAGGCTGCGCGGCGGCGCTGGGGGCAGGACCCGGGCGCCCGCGGCGTCCGCTCGGCCTCTAGCGAGGCTGGCGCCGGGGAGGGCCGGCCGCGGCGCAGGGCGCGCAGCCGGACCGCCGGCTCCGGGTCGCCGGGGAGGCCGGGCGCGCTCCCTGCCCGTCCGGAGGGCCCGGGGCCGCCTTTGTCGCTCGCCGCGCTTACGCACAGGCCGGGGGACGGGGTCTCCCGTGGTCCCCGGGAAGGAGAGAGCGCCTGGCAGAGCCCGCCTCCGACGTGGGCGCTCGGCCGGCACTCGGCGGCCTCCGCCAGGGCGGACACCCGCGCCCGGCGAGGCCCAGACGGGGGCGGACCGGCCCCCCAGCAGCCTTGGGTCTGTTTAGAAAGCAGGCTGCGCCGCGCGCCCCGCCTTTGGCGAGGTGGGGGGGCCCTGCCCTCGGCCCCCGCCCCCGCCCCCGCGTCCCCACTCGGCGGCGGGCCCCGCAGCCCCCTCCCCGCGGCCCTCCCCGCAGTCCCTCTGGGCCGCCCCAGGGCGAGCTGAGGCCCCGGGCGCGTCGTGCAGGCATTGGGGCAACTCGGGGCGCGCGTCCCCCCCTCCTCCCTGCAGTGTTTTGACCGTGTGGCTGGTTTGGGGAGGAGGTCTGAAGGGGGCCACGCGGCGACCGCGCGCCGCCGTTTGTTTCATTTCGGGGTTTGTTGGGGCGGGCGGGAACTTCCCGGGCGGCGGGTGGGCGCGGGGAGCCGCGCGGCGCGGCCGGGGGCGGCGGCGGCGGCGGCGCGCGCGGCGGCGGCGGGGCTCGCGGGGCTCGCGGGGCTCGGGCCGGCTCGCGGCGCCGTCAGGCAGTCAGTCGGCGAGCGCGGCGGCGGCGGCGGCGGCGAGGGGCGCGGCGAGGGGCGCGGCGAGGGGCGGCCGCTCCCATATATGGCGCAGGCGCCGCCCCCCGACGTCACCCTCTGACAGCGCCGCTCCCGGGGGCTTCGAGTTTTGGCTCCCGGGAAAGGGTCCATTCCTCGGGGAGAGAGGGCTGAGTTTTGTGCGCCTCCGTCCGCTGCGCGCGCCGCTCCAGGCCCCGCCGCGCCCCGCCTGCGCCCGGGACTGCGCCGCGGCGCTCACTGCCCCGCTTATTTGTCTTTGGAGCAGGCGGGCCGCGCCAGAAGCGGGCGACCCCGCAGTGTCCTGCAGCCGCGGACGCCGCCCGGCTAGGATGACACCACGTTGAGCGCGCCTGCAAACAACAACAACAACAACCGCCGCCGCCGCCGCCGCCGCGCCCGGCCCGCCTCGCCTCCGCCTCCGCGCCGCCGGCCGTCCGGAGCGCCCCGGCCGCCGGTGCATGCGGCGCCTGCCCGGGTCGGGCTGAAGCCGGCGGCGGGCCGCACCGCAGGCGCCGAGCAGGGCGAGCGCGGCCAGGGCAGCCGCCTGCCGCCGAAGCGCTTTCGGCCGGGAGCCGCGGCCGCCGCCAGCAGTTTTCATGTTTGGGATTCAGGAGAATATTCCGCGCGGGGGGACGACCATGAAGGAGGAGCCGCTGGGCAGCGGCATGAACCCGGTGCGCTCGTGGATGCACACGGCGGGGGTGGTGGACGCCAACACGGCCGCGCAGAGGTACGTACCGGCCGCCGCCGCCGCGCGCCCCGGGCCCGGGCCCGGCCCCGGCCCCGGCCCGGCCGGGTCCCCGCCGCGCGCGGCCGCCGCGCCGCTCACCGGGCCGCCGTCCCTTTCCTCCCGCAGCGGCGTGGGGCTGGCGCGGGCGCACTTCGAGAAGCAGCCGCCCTCCAACCTGCGGAAGTCCAATTTCTTCCACTTCGTGCTGGCGCTCTACGACAGGCAGGGGCAGCCGGTGGAGATCGAGAGGACCGCCTTTGTGGACTTCGTGGAGAAAGAGAAAGTAAGTGCCGCACGCGGCCGCACCCTCCGGCTCTCCAGAGGCGGGAGGCAGGCGGGGCGCCCCTCGGCGGCGGGGACCCTGCGGGCGGCGGACGCCGCGCCGCCAGCGGGAACGGGACCTCGCCGCGCGCCCCGGGCTCGGGGTCCCCGCCGCGCGAGAGGCCGCGGGGCCGCGGTGGCGCGGGGGGCCGAGCGCGGCGGCCGCGCCGGACCCCGGTCGCACCCCGGTCGCGCTGAGCGCAATTATTTATGGTTACTTTCAGGAGCCCAACAACGAGAAAACCAACAACGGCATCCACTATAAACTTCAGCTGCTGTACAGCAACGGTAAGTGGCCGCCGCCGCCGCCGCCAGGCTCGCCCTCCTTCCCCGAGTCGGCGAAAGGACGTGAGGATCGTGAGATTAAAATGACACGGATGTAAACACGAAACCTTCTCATGGCATAGAAGGAAAACAAAACATAAACGATCAATAAGTCGATGGCACTTCACATGATTAAGCGGTGGGGCTCGAAGCAGAAAGCAAAAAGGGGGATCGATATGGGGCTTCAGCAGAACATCACTTTTAAGTGACTTTTTTCAATTTTGCAAATTAATGTTAATTATGGAGATGGGGGCAGCTCCGTAGACAGAGCTGAACGGACTTCCTGTGCACGAGTTAAAAAAAAAAATCCTCGAGAGACATTAGAAAGAGTTCAAACTCTCACTCAGTTTCCATTTCATGCTTTCTGTTTTCTAAAAATAAATGACCGCACGGGCCCACCGGGTGCAGCCACCGGGCCTGCCCTCCGCCGGGCAGGTTTGCCGCACCTTTCGGTGCACAGCCTGAGAGTCTCAGAGCCTCTTAAAGACGAAAAGGAAACCAAGGGAAGAAGAAGCATTGGGGCTCTCTGTCGCCCTTTAAGGGGCATGGCTGAGTTTTGCTGGAAGGGGGCAGGCAGCGGCCGGTGCCCCGGGTGCCCTGGCTAAAATCCTGATGAGAATTTATCTGTTTTTCTTTTTCTTTTTCTTTTTTTTTTTTTTTTGCAGGAGTCAGGACAGAGCAAGATCTGTATGTGCGCCTCATAGATTCCATGACCAAACAGGTGAGAAAGTTTAAGCCTCGGCGCCCTGCTCTGCACTGCTCAGCTGCGCTGTCCTGGGGTGGAGGCCAGGGCAGTCCGGTCTCTGTACTTGTTTTCCATCTCGTTTCCTTGACATGCTAATGAGAATTCCATATTTATTGGAATAAGCGATGCGATTGGTAAAGGAGTTTCTGTTGTCACCACAGTAGGACATATATGCTTTATTAGGTGGCTTGTGCGTGGAATCAAATTCTGTCTTAATTAGCTATGGTAATTAATATTTGACAGAAATTTTAGGAGGCTCCCCCTCTTGTATATTTTTAAACGTTTCTCTCTCTGCTTGGAATCATTTCATTGATTTTTTTTTCTATAACAAAGGCAACTAACTCCTTTCCAAAGCCCATTGGGTTGGGCTTGATTAGTTCATTTTTTTCTCCTTTCCAGTGTGATGGTCTAGTAACGCGAGACGTTGATTTGGATTTAAAAGTGAAATGTGTTGGGGTGAAAAGTCACCTTGTTCTCGGCTAGTCCGTCTTCACCTCTCAGCCTCCCCTCTCCATAATTCAAACTCCCAGCTCCAGGGGTCACCCACACCCGTCCGTTGCTCTGGGAGCAGCTTCTGTTCCCCTCTCCCACCCTCTGTCATACCTTGTAAATAACATAATTACAAGCAGTTCCTTATTAAATTATTTAACCTGTCTTGGTCAACTTTTCCGATGATAACTATTGGCCATCAGTAATGTGATTAAGTGCAGAAAAGCGCTTCGTTGCTTTTTGACATTGTGCAGAGTCTCTGGCTGGTTTTGTGCTGGGTGGTATGTTGTTTAGCCTCTGTAGAGATCTCCCCCCTCCCCATTTTTCTTAAAACCGTGCTGGGGGAGGGGCGAGTTCCGTGCGAAAATTAAATCCTTTAGGCGCAGATGGATTTAAAATATACACCCAAGGTGAGCTTCAGGCTTGGAAATGAAAGTAGCACCTTCATTTCTGAGGCTAACTTTAGGAAGTGTGAGCCAAGTAGGAGAGAACTCCTTGGTGCTGCCCCAGCCCAGCACCCAAGCTTCCCACTCTCTGCACGGCAATTAGTTTTTGGATTTTACTTCCCCTTTGAAAAGTTGGTCCTCACCCAGGCAGCAGCGCGTTGGATTTTAACGTCTGCAGCGTAAAAGAGTGTGGTTTTCTCTTAGAGTAGAACAAACCCTACAGGTAAATCACCGCCTTTGTCAGAAAGACGAGGCAGCGTGTGCCCTTTGGTAATTATTTCACTCGGATTCAGAGAAGCCTCTGGAAGTGGGGCTGCTCGTTGACAGGGTGCTTTGATTTCCTTTGTATAGGAGGCCTAAATGTTGTCGGAAACCGCAGTAGTCTAATTAAGAGGTTCAGGCAGCCGTAAGTTTCTCTGGTGTTGCACAGAGGAGGCTTCGCTGTAAGAGTACTCTTACTGTTAATTTAGCCGCGTACCTTTGCAACATAAACAGGGCTGAAAATAAAGGCATTTAATCTCCTCTCACTGACGGGGATGGTGGGGGGCGGGGGGAGAGGAAAGAAATAGCCCAGTAACTGATCAAAGAGTCAATGGCGCTGAACCGACAGTTTATGGATTTCTGTTTGTGCTACAAAATAAAAAATAAATCAAATATAAATACGGGGATCCGTGCGAGGACAGGCCGAGCTCTCGGCAGTGCTGGTGCCCGCGCGGCCGAGCGCCCTGCAGCCCCGGGCGGCCCTTCGCCCCCGGGGTCCCCAGCAGACCCCGAGGGAGGCCGGGGTCGAGGGGCTCGCCGGGACCCTTCCCGCCTCCCAGAGGGCGGCCTCGGGCCTTCTCGAGAAAGGGCTTTGTCTGCCTGGAAGTGGAGGAAAGTGTGAGAAGTGCCCGAGGAGATTGGAAGTAATTTCCAGATAATTTTCGGTGCCGGGGGGAGGGAACTGGAGAGGGGACTCCCCTCCCCCTTTCGTGGAATTTTCTGCCGGGAACGTGCGGCTCCCGGCCCCCGCCCCCAGCCCCTCCCCCAGTGACCTCGCCCCCCCCCCCTTTTTTTCCTCTTGCTGCGAGGCGGGCGGCGGGGCGGGCGGCCCCCGGCTCCCCGGCCCCCGGCTCGGGTTCCGGCGGCGGAGCCGGGCTGAGCGCGGTCGTGAGCGCACCTAGGGCTTCGCACCATCTGGCGGAGCCTCTGCTCAAAACCCACCCGAGCGTGTGCGCAGACACTGCCTTTTTACCCGAGAAAAATCATTGTTAGCAGTTTCAAAATAAACACCAGATTGGCCATTAGCACTTTCTTTCCAAATATCATCCGGCGAGGAGCACGTGGCCGCGCGGCCCGGGCGCCCAGGGCCCTGCGCACTCCCGGGGGCGCCGGCGCGGCTGCGCCCCGGCCGCAGGCCCACGGCGGCACCGGGCTGGGGGGGCCGGCGGGGCCGGAGGGGCCGGGGCCGGGGCCGGGCTGGCTGCCGCCCCCGCGGCTCCCTGTGGCCGCTGCTTGCAGCACGCAGGCTGGAGCTCCGGCTAGACAATGGCCCGGGGACGCGGCCCGGCGCGGGCAGCCGAGGGGGCCCGGGAGCCCCAGCCCCTCCGCGCCCTGCGCCCGCGCCGCCCTGCCCGCCCCCGGCTCCCACACCCCGCCCCTGCCCCGGCTCGGCCGCCGCCCTCCCGACCCCCAGGCCGCGCGCGGGCCCCGCGGGCGCCCGGGACGCGAGGCCGCCGGGGCCCAGCCCTGCTCCGGGGGGCGGGGACGGGGGGCCCTCTGCCCGGGCGGTGGCCTGGCCGCGCCGCGCCGCCTCCCTCGGCCCGCAGTGCACCTGCCGCCGGGAGACCCGCAGCGCCCGGGGCGACTGGGCGCCGCGTAACCCCGCCTCTGCTTGTCCCCCGCGCAGGCCATCGTGTACGAGGGCCAGGACAAGAACCCGGAGATGTGTCGCGTGCTGCTGACCCACGAGATCATGTGCAGGTGAGCGGGGGCGCGGGCGGCGGGGGCGCGGGCGGCCGCGGCGCCGGCTGCGTCTGCGAAGGACGCCGCGTCCCGGCGCCGCCGCCCCGCCGACTCCGGGCCGGGCATCGATTGAAATGCAATCGGCCCGAGTCTGCTCGCCCGGGCCGCCGAGGAGCCCGTTCCCGTCTCCCTCCCCGGCTGCTCAGCAGAGCGGATTAATTCGTTGGCCGGGTCGCGGCGGTGTAGTCAAAAATGAAAACAGGTCCTGGGTGATGCCTCCGTCCTCGGAGCCCGAGGAGGCAGAGATCACCGGGAGTCATTTTACTACTTCCTTCTCGAGCCCTGGCGTCCTCAGCTCTGCAGTCGTCTGTTATTGATAAAAAGGAAACTCTTTTGTACTTATTACAGCGCGCGCATGTGAGAATTGGATTGTGATTCCGTCAGTTAACCTCTTCCCCAGAGCAGTGATGCATCGTTCATATTGTTGTTAGATTGCGCGCGCCTTCCTCGAGATCTCTGTCAGAAGAGCAATTTCCCACCTGTTTTTTTTCTAACTACCACAAGAGTTTCACCCCTACATGGCAAATAAAAATGCATCATTGAGTTTGTATGTGCGGCACGTGAAATATAGTTGCAAGGGAGAGAGGGGCCTGCGTCTGCAGGCTTGCAGGCGACAGTAGCAGGCCGCAGACTCTGAGGGGCATACTCTGCCTGGCTACGATGCGGATTGCCTGAATGCCATTTCTGAGCAGACATATTGTTACAGCACTAATATACAAAAGCTGACTTTTTCTCATATCAGGTAATAAATATAAATTACAACCAATAAAGTGGAATTTCTTTATTATCCACTTCTGCATGTACTGCAATTAACATAGAAAGCGCACAGATGTGATTTAAGCTCTAAGTGGAAGACTGTAGACTTTCTTTAATCACTTTAGCTGTCAGCTTTAAAAGGCTTTATATACTTTGCCTACCATATGGTGTTAATTTAGCTAATTTAGACATGTAACCATTATACAAGTATGCTTTTTTAAAATGCAAGAAGCATAACATTTTTGTTTCATTTCTGCTTTAATTAAAGTTTCAATAACGGAGTTAAGGTGGGCTTAAAGAAGGAACAATGGAAGTTTCTGATAGATGGATGCATGCTTTTGTGCTTATAATTAATAAATGCCCAAAAGAAATATTGGTTGAAGGTGGCATCTTGCATCTTTTCCAGAAATAACAGCTTGACAATTAGAGGTAAACAAAAGCCGAAGCTGTGAAAAGTTATTCCCAAGCCTCCTGCCTCCCCTTCTCCTCAGTTCATTGCAAAGACAAACACCGAACACGCTTTCCATATTTTAGCATCCGAATTTCTGTCGTAGCTCCATATTTTAGCATCCGAATTTCTGTCGTAGCTCGGTGGCTCTGCTAGGGTAACAGATACGTTCAACTTTGCTCCTTCCGGTAGAAACTTCCATCATAAGTGGAGCCGCAGAGCCCATGAGCTCCCTGGCTTTACATTTGCCAGACTGCTGTGGTCAGAGGGCTGGTTTTCTCGCCTCCAACGGCTCTAGTGTCAGACTTCACAAAAAAAAAAAAAAAAATTACAAGTTGGGCATAAAAGGCCGCACCGCGTACTGAAACCCCTGTTTACCATTGCTCCACAGCCGGTGCTGTGACAAGAAAAGTTGTGGCAACAGAAACGAAACACCCTCAGACCCTGTAATCATTGACAGGTAAGGATGACTTCTTTATTTCTCAAAAACAAACCACAGCAACAGCCAAACCCTTTGCTTTTGCTCTGTTTCCAGTTGCTCCATATTTTGGAGTCTGGTGTGGAGCTCATTCTGCGCGTCGCACCATTTGTTGTCCGCGTGTGTTATCATGCACAGGTGGGTTGACTTGGAAACCTGGTGGCTCGCTCTGTGGGGATTCGGTAATTGCTTGCGAGTTGTCAAGGGAAGCAGTTTCATCTGCCACTGCTCTCACTGTGAGGAGCACTTTATGCCTAGAGAGTTGCTGGCTTTCAACCCAGAGATATGTCATAAAATGCTTTTTGCTAATTTGTTAACAAGTATTTCATTTTTGCATTATTTTTATCTCGGATGATAGCTGAAGTCGAGGCTTGGGTGGTGTGACTGTTGTAATTGTTGCCCAGTGTTCGAATGAATTTAATCTGCTCTCAATTAGTTGCAAAATGTCTCCTAATTTTTTTCCAATTGTGGCTGTCGTTTTATGTCAAGTAGCAAATATGTAACTAACAAACCAAAGTTGTTATAATTGAAACTAATTACACACACTGGTTACATTTTCCAACATTAATTTCCATAACTAGATGAGCTGTATGCATTCTTTACATTGCTGTTCTCCATCCTGCTATTTATCATACTCCTTGGGCAATGTTGCATCCTTTTAAGATACTAATCATTAGTCCTAATAGTGCTAATGTGCGTTTGGCATTGCTTTACTTGAAACAACAAAAACATCCCCTCCCGCCCTCCTCTTCGAACACTCACCCAAATCGCTGGCTTTCTCGGTGACCTGCAGGAGAGGAGGAGTTCTTTCTTCCCAACGATGGGGAACAGCAAAATGCCCTGTGTGTGATTGACTGCAGATTTCGCAATTGGTACCCAAATCGAATAAATGTTAGGCGTGTACACATGACACCGGTTTTGTGAGGCAGAGGGTTAGACGGTTTTGAAGAGGGGTTGAATTTCAGCAGCTTTCATTACAAAGTTATCTTTTGATCGTGAACTTTGCTGTCCAGTGTCTGAAAAATTAAACCCGGAAAACTCTATGAGTTAAGCCTAAAGAAATATGCGCCACCAGTGGAGAGCAATGCTAATGTTTAACTAGCTGGGATAGCTGTTTGCTTAGTGGAGAATGCGCGGTATCTGACAGAGAGGACAGCTCTCTTATTAGTAATCAAATAGGGCTGACCAGTTGTGGCCGTCACTCAGGCGATTGAGAACAAGTTCAACACTTTGCACAACTCCCAACTCCAAAAATCAATATAATTATATTTGTCTTTAGTGCGGCGGCCGTGGAAATCCTACAGCCTTGGATGGTCGTCTTGTGACCGAATTAATTTTATTTTATTTTTGATTGGCTAAAAGTGTCTGAGCAGCTCCTGGAAGCCTGTCTGAGTGTGAGGTGCCCGAAGAGGCGGTGTGCGTTGGCTGGCCGGGCAGGATGGTGAGGTGTGCCTCTTTGGGGAGTTGTCTTCGGTTTGCGATATTGTGAAATTTTCAGGAGATGGCTTGCTTTTAACGGGTGACGTCCTCAGCGTGGCATAGTAACAGAGCAGTCGTGACGATTCCACTAACGTTTTGGAGCTCGGGTTTTCCCTTCACGATCACGTTGGGTTTGTGTCACATTCGATCACTTATCGACTCTTGATGCTGGATACCTTTTAATACTCGGTGTTAATCACACAATGGGAAGTCTCTCCACGTGATTTGCAGAAGTGTTCCCTTTAATTCTTGTCTGGATGCTGTCTTATATTTGGGTAATTGAAACGCGTGCTGCGATTCCTGGTACCTTTCTAATCTAAGAGAAGCGTGTGATCATTTGATATTCCGGAGGCATGAGAGGAGGGGAGAAATGTAAAAACATTTGGTTAATGGGTTTACCAAGTTTATTTGAATAAGGAGGATTGCAGCCCCATTGATGCCTGGCGTAAATGCTTTGGAGGTCTTAATTATTGATGAAAAATCTGTTCTGCTTCTAAATGCAAAGATATGACAATTTTATAGGAATTTTAATCACCTTCCATGTTAGGGATTTTGAGGTAAGGATAGTTTCTTAAGTAATGACGGATAGCATGTACGTTTTCAGCATTCTTAAGAGAGCTGTCACTTACAATGAACAAACGCCACTTATTCTGTGACCTGATGGAAATCCTCGTGAAACTGTCGCGTGTCGGCTCTTCCTCCACTTTAAGGTGTGTTTCTAGAGGACAAAACGCAGAGTCGCGTGTCCGCGGGCGCGGTGGTGTTAATCAGAGAAAGAAAAGCACCTGCAGCAGGGGACCATCTTTAGAGAGACGCCGTCCTTCACAGCTGAGATGTGCTTCAGTCCCGTAATGACCATCATTTCTGTGGGGTGTGTGTTGCCTCCTAAAATTAGTTGCTCATGTTGAGTTTCTAGCCTGTGTTCCCTCTTGAGTATTGCAGGATAAAATATCCCATCAGATTGGTGAGTCAGTCTACAGGTCCCCATCAGCAATGTCATCACTTGGTTAGTTGGCTTAAAAAAGAATTATATACAATGTGCTTCGCCAGCTCCTCGTGGCCTTTGGATACATTTAGCAGGTTCTGACCAGATAAGGCATATTTGTCCTGAGGATATAAACCAATAATTCCAACCTGAATTGAGATCAATGGGCCCACATTTGTTCTAACCCACACCGAGCCTCTTCCGGCTTTTCTCTGTCTTATGAGAACAGAGGAGTAAGCTTCCCGCTCTGGCAGGGAAATCACATTCTATAGACTCTGATGCCTTAAATCAATTAATTACACAATTTAGTTATCTTTCAGAAGCATTAAATACTCATGAACGGCGTGGAAGACCCTTCAGTGGCAAGAAGAGGGGAAAAGTGAGGATATCTTGTATTATCAAACCCTTTTAATTTACTGCGAAGGTTTCACCCACGTTAACTGTCTTCCTCCTCATAAAACAATGCCAGGGAAACCATTCTTTATGGCTCCGCAAATATAATTACACTACAGTTTATCTAAGCTAATGCAGCGACTTGTGGGGTAAAGGAAGGGAGAGGCGTGACACTACGGTAAAAAGCACGGGCAGTGGACGCCGGAGGACAGAGCATCCACGGCAGATCGTGGTGACCTGTGGGGAGCCAGATGCAAGGAGGGAAGAGGCGTGCGTGTGCGCGCGTGCGTATACCCAGCCGGGCGCACGCACCCGCATACGTGTGTGCGCGTGGGTGTATACACACGCATATGCACGCGTGTTTTCTCATGGTATTCCTGAAAAGGATGGGAGTATCATTTTCCTCATGGAATAATGTTTTCTGGGAAAACACAAAAGCAGATGGTCTTCATTAGGAACACCCATTGTCCACATATCCCAACTATGAACAGATAAATCTCTCTTGTTTCACCCGTGCATTCCAAGGGCTGTAAATGATTACAGGATGTCGGTGTGGCGGCTAAACCAGAACCACACTTTGGCCCCAGTCCTCATCCCGGGCCATCCCGGTGTGCTCGCCCAGGCCTTCTGGGGGTGCCCAGGGAGGCGCAGGCCCCGGGCCGACCGGGGGCGCTTGGGCCACCGTGTCGCAGCCCGCGAGGCGGTGCGGGCCGGGCTGCGTGACCGTCCACGCGGGCCGGGTCGCCCGCCGTGTGCTCGCGCGGCGCCGGGAGCATGCTCGGCGGGGCGGTTCCAGATGGCACCGGCTCAGGCGTCCTCGCTGGCACCTCCGTGGCAGGCAGCGCCCCCTCCCCGGTAAATCTGGCATCGGCCTATAGCGTCGGGGAGACTTCTCATTCCAAGTCTGTCCTACTTTCCTGTCTGGAAGCCAGACATCTGTTTATCCCATTTTCTTTCATACAGAGTTTGGAATAGCTTTAGTTTGGGGGGGGAGGGAAGTTTTGTCATATTTAACAGCTGTTACAGAATTTCAACCCTGTGGGCTCTGAAAATACTTTTCGGCTGACCTCAGATTTTTATACATAATTGACATGGGGTTGTAGAAAAATATTATTTACTTAACCTTTCGTTGTCTGTGATTTCACATTGTCCTGACTCTGATGTGCTAACTGCCAACAATTTCAACTTGCCCGCCTCACCCCCCGCCCCCCACCCCCCAGCCTTGCTTGGATTCATTTACACGTTTTAAGTTTACACCTTTAAAGTGATTGCAGAACGGTAGCCGAAGACCGATTGGAGATTTTCTTTCTTTCTTTTCTTTCTCTCTCTCTCTCTCTCTCTCTCTCTTTTTTTTAGTCAACAGTGTTTCCTTTCACTTCCTGTCACAAAGGTCAAAGAGAGCCGACCTTTGCTGGCGGTCCCCTCGCTGAATTATTCATGGCATTGACTTTTTGTCAGCACACACAGTTGTGCTCTGGGACATTTTATTCATTTACCTCATTTAAAGCGCCTTTCTGCACCTGTTCAAGTATTAATATCATGTAATTTGGGCCTAATGCCGATTTTGCTGAACACTCATTATATTTTTTATTAGCTATATTTCCAAACGATTATGTATGATTATTACCAAGCCTTACAAACAGCACCGGGCTATTCCCCAGCCCCTTACATCTTCTTGTCAGGCTGTTTTCCGAAGCGGGGAGGATAAACATTTGACCAGACCCACTGTTTTTATTCCTCCTCCATCTCCAGGCCGAGAACTTAAAGCTTCCTCCCTCATGGCTTTGCACGCGCGTGATTAAATCCAACTCTGAGGGAGCTGTACAAATGCCAGCATTTATAAGGTCAACGCTTTTGTTAAAAATGCTATGTAAATGAGGATCTGCAAAAAGGGACATTAAATAAAATTAAATTCATTGTCTTCTTTAATGTCATTTACATTTTGGCTAAGCCCTGGCCTGTCAAGGAGGATTTTAAAAATAATTTTAATTACACACCATTCAGGGACCCGGGGTGTTCTATTCAGTAGCATTTGGATAGCCTGCAACACGGAGACTGTTTATTAACTTCCTAAACGGCGTCACGTCACTTCATCTGCATAACGCGGCGGAAACCGTGCACTTTG